AAAAAAAAAAAAAACAAGAACTTATCCCATAATGGGGAACTCCTGAGATAGCTCAACCCACCTATATTTTTGCTCTCTAATTGGTAAAAAATCCTTCCTCATACTAAACAGAAGTCTGTCTCCCCATAACAAATCTGCTTCCTGTGTCACAGATGCTCCTTGGAGATATCCCTGAAGATAGAAGCCAGGCCCATCTCTGTCCTCCAGGCTTTTTCTCCTTCAGGGTAAACATCCTCAGACCCCTTAGTTATTCCTCATGTGATCTGGTCTCCTCACCTTCCAAAAGCCGAGTACCGTGTTCCAGTGAGGTCTGACCCATACAGTTGAGCAGTCTCTTTCTGGCTAGACTGGCATTAATGTACAATAAGATGACACCACCTTTTTCTGCCAGTTGATTTGTATTAACATTTTTAAATTTTTGATTTTGACCTAGTTTCAGACTTAAGAAAAATTGTAAGCAAATACAAAGAATTAACATACACCCTTTATCCAGCTTCCCTGTTTATTTTTCTGTCACATTGCCTTCCTGTCACTCTCTCAGTTTGTTTCTGAACTGGTTAAGATTAAATTGCAGTTATCCTGCCCCATTTCCCCTTAATGCCTCAGTGAGTATTTCATAAAAACAGGGATACTCTCCTACATAACCACAGTACAACCATAAAAATTAGGAAATTAACCATGATTCAATTCTACCCTCTAATCCACAGACCCCATTCAAATTTCACTGATTATCCTAGTAAAGTCCTTCCTAAGTTCAGGATCATAGGCTGTATTTAGTTGTCATGTCTCTGCCATCTGCAAACTGAAATGCTTCCTCTATCTTTCCTTATCTTTTATGACCTTAACATTTTTGAAGAGTACAGACTAATGATTTTGTACCATGCACATCAGTTTAGGTGGATCAGATGTTTTCTAATGATTAAGTTCAGTGTATGTATTTTGGAGAGGCATACCACAAAAAATGATGTGTTCTCAGCCGTCATACCAGCAAGCACACAATGTCAATTTGCCCTGTTACTAAAGTTAAGAAGGTATCTGCCAGGTCTCTCCAATGTAAAGTTAATTGATAAATATTTTGTACTTAGTGGTTAATAATCATGAAGTACCTGGTGGAAGATAGTTTGAGACTAAGTAAATATGTTCCTCATTACACTTTCACCACTAGTTTTAGCATCCATTAGTGATTCTTGCCTGAACACTTGTCCTGTGATGGTTGCTAAGTGTTGATTTTTCTGCTCCCATCACTTCCTCATTTATTAGTTGGCATTAGTAAAGTAGAGGTTTTTCTTCTCCCCCATTTATTTATTCTTATTTTTAAAATACATTTTAGTACAGACTAATGGATTTCTATTTTATTCAATGGGTTATAAGCCACTATTATCGTTATTTATTTTGCTGCCCAAAGCTGGGTCCTACCCCCATTTGACATGTCCCCAGCATTCTTGCAGCACTTCCTTATTTTGTGACACAGTAAGATGTTTCAGGGCTCATCTTGTACTTTCCCTGTGCCAGACCTGTAATTAGTCATTTGTCCAAGGAGCCCTGTTGCCTTAGAACAGAGAGATAGTGTCCATGATCTGGGTCCTAGAGGTGTACTCATTGTTACGTGGGTGACATTATTTCTAGGTCCTCTCAGTGGACAGAACTGGAAAATAAATGCGTGTATGTGTACATACACATAGATGAATGTATGCATTTACATGCACACACACACACATATATAAAATCATGAGTTAATACTGATAGCTCCATTTTCAATCCAACATCAGTGGGCTTATTCTAGCTTTCTCCCCTTTCCCTATTTGTAACTCCTTCAACATTGAGAAGGCTGGCTGATTAACCTCCAATATTCACTTATTGACTCATTCTCTCTGTATGATCCCAATCTCCCAGTCGTGGGCTGTCTCCCCAGCCCTAACCCCACTAACGTGACCAAGATGCTGCCACTTTGGCCCAAGCTGCAGTGAACACTCTGGCCAACTTCTCAAGGGAGCTTCTAGCCTAGAAAGCAAGCAAGCTGAGTCCCTAGCTGAACCCACAACCAGGCCCTGAGCCTGACCCCAGCCCTGCGAAGGATAAGGGAAAGGGACCACATGGCATTGCAGCAGGCCCTTTATGTTGACTCACTGGGCTTACTGTTTGCTCTTCCCTGCCTTCACCTTAGCTTGCTTCTACTTACCTTTGAGAAGCCAGCTCATGTGTCAGTTCCTCAGAAAAACTTTCCCTGACTAAGTCAGGTTCTCTTATTCTATGCTTTCAGCATCATTTTATTTTTCACAGCTTAAAAGAAATACATTTGTTTATGGAATAATTTGACTAATGTCTTATTTCCCCCAATAGTCTTTAAGCTCCATGAGAGAAGATGGTGTGTTTTCCTTACCATTGTATAGTTCCGGGGTCTGGCACTGTGCCTGGCACTTTTCTTTACGTTTCTTTTCTTTTTTTTTTTTGAGATAGGTTACTGCTCTGTTGCCCAGGCTGGAGCACAGTGGCGCAATCTCAGCTGACCGCAGCCTCTGCCTCCTGGGCTCAAACAAAATCCTCCCATCTCAGCCTTCCAAGTAACTGGGATTACAGATGCATGCCACCACAATCAACTAATTTTTATATTTTTTGTAGAGACAAGGTTTCACCATGTTGCCCAGGCTGGTCTTGAACTCCTGAGCTCAAATGATCTGCCCACCTCTGCCTCCCAGAGTGCTAGGATTACAGGCATAAGCCACCACGTCCAGCCTACCTGGTACTTCCAATAAATATTTGTTGAACAAATGAATGGAAACTTCTAAGTCTTTTTTTCTACACATACGACCATTAATTAATGTCTCTGCTTGTACTTCTGGGTTTTTGTGTTTGTTTTCGAGACAGGGTCTTGCTCTGTCACCCAGGCCACAGTGCAGTGGCACAATCATAGCTCACTGCAGCTTCAAACTCCCAGACTCAAGAGATCTCCTGCCTTAGCCTCCAGTGTAGCTGGGACCACAGGCATGCACCACCATGCCTAGCTAATTTTTAATTTTTAGTAGAGACAAGGTCTCACTATGTTGTCTAGACTGGTCTCAAACTCCAGAGCTCAAGTGATCTTCCTGCTTCAGCTTCCCAAAATGCTGGGATTGCAGGCATAAGCCACTGTATCTGGCCTACTTCCAGTTTTTAAAACATCTAATTGACTGTATCACTATTAAATTGCTCTTGCCAGCAAATCTTTTTGGATGCAGAGTCTGTCTTTAAGTATGTTAGTTATCCCTCTCGGGCTAACATCATCTGCACATTTGATAAGTAAGCCAGCTAATGCTTTAACCAAGTATATGATAAAACAGTGAACAGGAGAGGGCTGAGACAGAGCTTTGTGACGTGCTTTGTAGTCTTACTTCTGGGTTATTTCATTCATGCAACAAATATTTCCTGAACACTTCCTGCTAATGGCCTGGACACTTTGTGGTACAAGGGATAAAGTGGTGAACAAAATAGAGGACCAAGTCTCTCCTTCAAAGAGCTTACATTCTAGTGGGGGCAATAGATAATAAACTAGTATTAATTGGTCAGAATTAGGTAATAATAACTTAAACATTGATCCATTAATTAGCAGACTTTGGGATGAGCATTTGCCTGCTCAGTAATTGTACTATCTACATTGTTTCCAGCCTTTTCACAAGAATATCATGAGTGATTTTTGTCAATGCCTTGCTGGAACCCAGCTACACTTTACCCATTTTCAAAGCTTTGCCCATTTATGTTGATTTACTAAGCTCATTTCAGAAAAGAAAACGAGCTTAGTCTGTCTTAAGCAATTCTTAGGTAAAGGGTTTTATAAACTCTTTGTGATCACTAGCTCCCCTCGAAAGACTCTCATGCAAACCATCCCTTCCAATAATGTGTTCCAGAAACTTGCTTGGGATTAAAATGAAACCTTCTTGTCTAAAGCTTGTGAAATCTATCTTCTTTCCTTAAAAAAAAAAAAAAAAAAAAAAAAGCCAGGTGCTGCAGCTCACGCCTGTAATCCAACACTCTGGGAGGCCAAGGCGGGCAAATAACAAGGTCAGGAGTTCAAGACCAGCCTGGCCTCCGTCTCTACTAAAAATACAAAAATTAGCGGGGTGTGGTGGTGCATGCCTGTAGTCCTGGGTACTCAGGAGGCTGAGGCAGGAGAATCGCTTGAACCCGGAAGGCAGAGGTTGCAGTGAGCCGAGACCGCACCATTGCACTCCAGCCTGGGCAGCAGAGCAAGACTCTGTCTCAAAAATAAATAAATAAATAAATAAAAGGGGGGGCATATCCTTCTTTAGGCTTTGGTGTATCTCATTACCCATGATTCCCCAAAGGTTACAAACACCAGTTTAGCGGTCGCACTATAGTTTCTCTCAACATCCTGACATACAATTTGTCTGGGTCAAGAAACTCATTTAAAGCACCTTGGTGCTTTCTTACCATGATCC